ATTTGCAGCGTTGTGTCACTTTCAGGTGTACATACATACCTATCTATTGTTTTTCCAGATTCTTTTCCCTTTTAGGCTATTACAAAACATTGAGATAGTTCCCTGTGCTATACAGTAGGTCCCAAAATAATGTTTCCAAAGGAGCATCCTAGCTTTGTCAGAGGGCTGAAATTAACCCACAGCTTGCAAAATATACTCTCCCTTCGCTCCTTCCTGTTAATGTGTCTCCACGACCAGATCGGAGCATATGTTTTGGAAAGCTTGAAACAGGGTGCTCCCCACGTGCATATCTGTGGTATGTTGCACTGTCCAATACTGCAGCCCTGGGCACGTGAGCCCTTGAAGCGGAGCTGGTCTGGATGGAAATGTGCCTCCTAAAAGTAAAATGCACACTCAATTTCAAAGACTGAGTACCAAAAAAATGTGAAATAGCACCTTAGTCATTTCTATGTTGCTCATGCATTGAAATAATAAGATTTTGGATACAGTAGGTGTGCAGTTAGGAACTTGGCCTTGGCCAAGAGGTGGTCTGGCTTTTGCCCTGGGCTTCTAGGAAATAATCTATGTGATTCCTAAGGGGCATGTATTTCTCTAGGGTGAGGCCAGCCACAGCTAACAGTCTTAGGTAGGGGCTGGCCATGCCGGAAAGACCAGCCATGTGATGGAAATTGGGCACTTTGGGCCAAGTGGTATCAATCTGCCTGAAGACTGGATTCAACCCTGTGTGCAAACAATCAATCAATCAAGTCTATGCAATGAAGCCCCAGGATAAACTTTGGACACCAAACGCAGTGAGCTTCCCAGGTTGGCAAAACTCCGTACATATGTCTCAGATCAATAACGGGAGGTTGAGATGGTCATAGATCAACAGCCAGAGGGTAAAATGTCTTGACTGCACCAGGGAGAGGGCGATGAAGGATCAGCCCCTGCGTCTCTTCCTTTGGCTGATTTTAGTCTGTATCCTTTCCCAGTAATAAACCATAACAGCGAGTGTAACTCTTCGTGAGTTCTGAGTCCTTCAAGCCATTTCTCAAACTTGAAGGTGGTGATGGGGACCCCCTGAACTTGCCCTTGGTGTCAAAAGTGAGGGCAGTTTTGGGGAGAGTACCCTTACCCTTATCCTTTGCAGGCTGGCTAACTCGGGGAGGTGGATTAAGTAAAACAGATTATTAAAACTGATCTTCCTTGTTTCCACTTACTTTTAAAAATGGGACGCTCAGAAAATTGTAAATTACATCCATGGCTCATCTTTGTAGGGTGCATTGTATTTCTATTAACAGTACTGGCATCAAGAGTGAGCCTGTGTTTTTATAAAAATGAAGTTTGAGAAAATAACAAGTTTTAGGCCGGATTTTATGCTCAAAACTATCTTTATCTATACAGACTCTACATGAAACCACAAAAGCAGTAAGAAGCAAAGACCATAAATCTTTCTAATCTGGGATAATTGGAATTTGATTCTGGTTTGATAATAATTACGTAGGGTTAACTAAGTTTGGACTGAGCCAAGCCTGCTCACCAAAATGAAGGAGAAAATTAAAAACAAAAGGTGGCAGTTCAATACTGCAGCATGAAACTTAACTACTCAAAAACTGCATCACTGTTCCGAACACGTAACTACCAGTAGTCTCTCCACAAAAATCCATCTCAAAGCATTACATAGATATGGCTGAACAATGAACCTTTATATTGTTTCTACACAGTTTTCATTTGCAAAAACTAATCAGATAAAGGTATTGAGCTGAACTTTATTGAAAAATCATCCACCAAAAAAAAAGTACTAAAGCGGTATTAAAAAACAGGTTCACATTCGAATTTAATAACTAACCTCCACCACTTTAAACAATAAAAACAAATTCATCCTTTCTTTTATGAGCTTTCTTGATGCTGCCTGTGACATCATCATCCAAGACAAAACAATTTTTGCCGACTTCTCCATTTCTTTCTTCAAATGCCTTGTTATTATATTTGGAAAAGCATCTGTCTGAAAACAAAGACTGCTAACCTAGGATGAGGGTAGATTTGGTGTGGCTGACCTCCTGAGTGACAGGCAAATGGTCAACTTAATCTTGACATGTAGGATGATCCTTCCAGGAGTTCCCCGGCAGTCAGTGGTTAGGACTCTGCACTCTCACTGCTGAGGGCCCAGGTTCAATCCCTGGTCGGGGAACTAAAATCCCACCTGCTGCGCGGTGCAGACAAAAAAAAAAAAAAGATCTTTTGACAGGACACTGCTGGATATTCTCACCACTGCCAGCAAGCCTGCCCAAAACGTAGCTGGTCTATGCATTTAACGCAGTTTTCTCATCATTACATCGAAAAGTTAACCCCAGGCTTCCCTGGTGGCGCAGTGGTTAAGAATCCGCCTGCCAATGCAGGGGACACAGGTTCAAGCCCTGGTCCGGGAAGATCCCACATGCTGCGGAGCAACTAAGCCCGTGCGCCACAACTACTGAGCCTGCCCTCTAGAGCCCATGCTCTAGAGCCCCCGAGCCACAACCACTGAGCCCACGTGCTGCAACTACTGAACCCCGCGCGCCTAGAGCCCGTGCTCCACAAGAGAAGCCACCGCAATGAGAAGCCCGCACACCGCAACGAAGAGCAGCCCCCGCTTGCCACAACTAGAGAAAGCCCGTGTGCAGCAGTGAAGACCCAACGCAGCCAAAAATAAATAAATAAATCAATAAATAGGTGTTACAATCTCAAGGGATAAGCACTAAGTGTGGCGGATTATTAAAATGGACCTAATCAGTGGCTCCCTCCCTGCACCCCTGCTTTTTAAGGCCACCCTGAAGATCGCCCCATAAGGAGCAAGAGGCTATAGCTCCGTGCTTGACTTGCTCTGGCCCACAGACAGTAGCAAACAGCACACAGGCAGAAGCTTGCAGCCTGCTCACGCACTGGTGCCTGATCTCTCCTGCCGCTGAGCCTAATAAAGGGCGACAGACCACACGGAGAGAGACACCAACTGTCCCAGCCATCCCAGCCGAGGCCCCAGCACGTAAGCAAAGCCATGCTGGACCACCCAGTCCCACTGAGCTGACCCCGGCCAGAAATGCCCAGACAACACAAAGCATAAATGATAAATGGCTGTCTTAAGGCACTATGTTTGAGGTGATTTGTTATGTAGCAAAAATAACTGATACAGCAGTGAACACATCTGTACCAGTTTTGGAGGGCCACAGGTTTTACAGACAAAGGTGACATTTAAAACTGAGAAGTTAGGGAAAGGGGGGGAAATCATGGAGGATAAACTTGCTTCAGCAGGGAAAAGCTTTCTTTTATGTCTGGCTTAACAGAAGGCAGTTGGAGTCTCACATCTGCTGCTCTATTCAATCTGTTTCCACATGTTGCTCTGGCTGAAGTGTATAAAGAAAATCCTGCTTCTTGCTGATAGGTGGTTGGAAAGGGGAGGAATATTTTAATGTGGGCCTTTAAGGAGCCTTTTCAGATCATTATAGGTATTACTCTTGGACATGACACCAAAACTCAACAAATGGTAGCTTCTTAAAGGTTAGTTGCAATATGGAACCTGAAATTATATCACACCCTGATATATTCGAATCCATAGGTCTATCTTGCACTTTGATGGATCTGTTATCTATGCATGATTCTGTGATGCCACGTATTAGTCATTTGAAAAATATTGGTTCACTGAGTGACGCAGATCTCGCAAAGGTTGAACCATTTCATTACACAGCATCCAAAAAAAAACAAAATTCACCTTTGTTAACACAACCACTGATCTCATCAGGGAAGGATGTAAGGGGAAGCCGTCCACTTCCTGGTGGCTCACCAGATTCTAATTTTTGCTATAAAATTTAAATGATATCATTGGCAATAGATACTGCCCGTCGTTTTTCTTGAAGTGACTCACTCAATTGAGTCATTTTTAAGAAAATGACTGCCAAATGCCCAAGTCTGAGTAACCATAGTTTGGTTATCAGTCCTTCAGATAAAAAATTGTGTTAAGACATGGCTGGTTCAGTCTGCAACCCCAACGTTGCACCAGGGCCTTTGCTCAAGATAGCCTGTAAAGTGCCACCAACAGGAATAATGCCTCCAGATGACAAGGGCCTAAGTGCTGTGCACAACGGTTTGCTGGTAAAGCACAAGGACCAGTAACGCTGGTGGCCCAGGGGCACTGCAGGGGTCACCATCTGAGAAAACAGCATCGTGCCTACGATCCACCGGAGGAAAGCAACCTTTCAGCTGGCCTTTTCTTTAGTTTTGCAGACACCAGCCCCACAAGTCCTCTACAGAACTCCCCACGGAGGATTCAGATTCCTGCCAGCTCATTTCACCCACCCCCCCCAAGTCATAATGAAGTTTAAAAGTCAATAAATGCATTAACTTGTAGAGCTACAAAGCCCTCTACTCATTAAAGCCCTTCAAATAAAGAGTCCAGCCTAGGAAACTCCAGCTGCCACCTAAGGGATTGCTACTCCCAACGTGTATAAGGATGCTGCAACATTTACAGTGTAGTCCGTAAATCATCCCATTTGAGCACATAAAATGAAAACAGACAAAGCATGAAAAGATCTGGCGGGGACTCCCCTGGTGGCGCAGTGGTTAAGACCCTGTGCTCCCAATGCAGGTGGCCCGGGTTCGATCCCTGGTCAGGGAACTAGATCCCACATGCATGCCGCAACTAAGGAGCCTGCCTGCCGCAACTAAGACCCAGTACAATCAAATAAATAAATAATTATTTTTAAAAAGAGAGAGATTTGCAAAAACAAACAAAAAAACAAAAAAGAAAAGAGCTGGCTATTGGGCTATTTTTGCAATTCAAGAAGAACAACAAAAAAAAATCAGTGACGGTCTAAGAGTATCTACCCAAATAAAAAAACATCAACATATGGGAAACATAACACACTGCTGTGGCCACCATGGGCGGTGCCGATGGGAACCATGTCAACTCTACTAAAACTGCGTTTCTGTTCTCTGATCCTGCAACTTTGCCAGCATAACCCAAATCAAAACGTGAAATGAACACGTACCCACTGCCTTTGTGCCGTTTCCTTCATTGACTCTGTGAAAGCGACAGCGAATCTAGGAAAGTGAGCAAAAATAATGAAAATGATTAGGGCAGAATCTAATTAACATGACTGTGAAACAGCTCTTTGGAACAAATTGTGAGAGACAGGTAAGTAGCTGAATTTATGGTGCGATCAATCTTTATTAGTCGTGGTCATTGGCTGGTAGATTTCATCTCCACTCACATCCAAAAAAAAAAGTTCTGTCTGCAGAAAATGAACAAATGAAGCTCAAAACTTCCTATGTTTCTTGTTCCTTCAGGGAAGGTGAGGGAAGCAGAGATAAAGACAGAAAACAGAGGGACTTCCTTGGTGGTGCAGTGGTTAAGAATCCACCTGCTAATGCAGGGGACACGGGTGCGAGCCCTGGTCTAGGAAGATCCCACATGCCGCAGATCAACGAAGCCCGTGCGTCACAACTACTGAGCCTGTGCTCTAGAACCCGTGAGCCACAACTACTGAGCCCACGTGCCACAACTACCGAGCCCACGTGCCACAACTACTGAAGCCCGTGAGCCTAGAGCCCACGCCCTGCAAGGAGAGAAGCCTCCACAATGAGAAACCCACGCGCTGCAACGAAGACCCAACGCAGCCAAAAATAAAATAAATAAAATAAATAAATTTATTTTTAAAAAACAGACAGAAAACAAGATGCACTAGAGAGGCAAGGAACTTAGATAATATTCAGGGGCAGGTGATCCGGTCCACTGGCTTTGCCAAAGGAAAACTAGGCAAAAGTGTTCAAGATTTACTGAATGTCCCCATTCATCGAGAAATGGCGGTTTCCAGAAGCAGGACTGGGTACACGTGGAATGAACCAGGAATATCTTTTGGGGCCAGAAAGTAAGAAAGTGCTCAAAACATGGCAAGGGCTTGTCAAGAGGATGCAGGAGTCAACTCAAAATATCTCCAATGGCCATGGCTGGGGTGATCTGGGCACCAAAATAAGTAATAGGAGTGATGGGTAACCCATAGAGTCAAATAAAATAAATAGCCATGGGTCCGTGTTGATGTAACTAAATAACTGAATAAGTAAATGGGGTCAAACAGACAACTCTTCCTTATAGTAGAATTCCAATTAAGAAATGTATGAGTGGTAGAAATAGAAAATTGTTGCAACCAAGAACCATTAATAGGAAATTCCCTGGCGGTTGAGTGATTAGGACTCAGAGCTTTCACAGCCGGGACCCGGTTTCTATCCCTGGTCGGGGAACGAAGGTCCCGCAAGCGGCACCTGGCGTGGCCAAAAAAAAAGAAAGAGAAAAAAAGAACCGTTAATAGATGATTCCTCCCCACTGTTATGACCTGGAAAGGGGAGCTCACGTCCCGCTGCCTGTGTCTTCTCCAAGCCTTCCTTCTTCCCCCTCCTCACTCTCCCCAAACCAGCCACCAATCGCAGACACAGCCAATCGCATGCCTCTTACTTAAGGGAGAAATACGGAATCCTTCCCTTTGGGTAGAATAAACGTGAGCAAGCAGGGCCAGACCACATCAGACCTTGCATCTGAGCCCAGCAGGGATCGGACTACTGGCATCACTTATGAGATGCTCTCCACGTCCCCCGAACATTGGCAAGAAACACAAATAAACTGTATTCTGAGGGCATCAACTTTACTCCAAGAAACGAGGATAAAAAGGAGAGAAAAGCAACTGAATAGCAACTGCAAGGAGAGTGCAGAAGCCTTCCTTTGTGGAAGTCTGCAAAAATGAGAAACTTAAGAATCAAACAAAGAACAAACTATGCATGTAAATTGCCTGTCACAGTTCCTGGTCCCTAATTCATTTAACATCTGATAAACATCTACTATTATTATTTTCTACTAGTACTAACACCACTACTGGGACTTGTGCAAAACATTAGGGCGCCCCACGTGGCCAGTGAACAAATTATTTGACAGCCTAAAACTTTGAGAAAAAAAAAAAAGACACCAAAAGCGAGAACAGCCATCAAACAAAGAATAAGGTCAATAACACAAAGACCAAGCAATTTACCCCATAACGGCGTTTATGAACAGCCACTCATCTGGCAAGCGTGATGCTCTACTTTTCGGTGAGAATGTCAGCTCCACATGGGCTGGAACGCTGCTCTGTTCATGGCCACCTCCCAAGCCCCTGGAGTGTCTGGCACCCAGGAGACGGGCAAAAATACCTGCTGCCTGTATACGTGTATAAGTAAGAGAAGGAACAGTTCTGCCTTAAATTCCAACAGGAAGCAGGTGAGGGGGAGGGATGGGTGGCGAGGGGGAGAAAAGAGCAGGAAAATGTCCCAGGTGTGCGGAGCGGACTCTGTGTGCACGGCAGCCCGGCGGCTGACTGTGACTGTCCCCCACCCATGTGACCGTCCCCACCATCACGTCCTGCTCATTTCAGAACCCAAGATGAGGCATCAGCAGGAGCTACAGCGTCAGTTTAAGATGGCAGGGAAGGATGAGAGTCTTGGGAAGGTTCTCCTCAAAGGTGCATGTGAAAATGTTTTCGGAGTCAGAGGGGTGAACTGGAGCTAACTTGAAAGACAGGCCACTTATTCCAGGGCCACAGATAACACGGTCTTTCTTCTGGCTGCTCATATAGGAACAGGGAGCCTGGCTTTACACCCACCTAATAGATAACCTTTTAAGAGAGTCTCTAGCCCAAAGATCCTTGGAAGATAAAGATATTTAAAATAACACATTTCTACCATTTGCAAAAGCCAAGACATGGAAACAACCTAAGTGTCCATCGACAGAGGAATGGATAAAGAAGATGTGGTTCATATATATAATGGAATACTACTCAGCCATAACAAAGAATGAAATAATGTCATTTGCAGCAACACGGATGGACCTAGAGATGATCATACTAAGTGAAGTAAGTCAGACAGAGAAAGACAAATACCATGTGATATTTATATGTGGAATCTAAAATATGGCACAAACGAACCTATCTATGAAACAGAAACAGACTCACGGATGTAGAGAAGAGACTGGTGGTTGCTAAGGGGGAGGGGGGTTGGGGGAGGGATGGTGTGGGAGGTTGGGGTCAGCAGATGTAAACTATTATATATAGAATGGATAAACAACAAGATCCTACTGTACAGCACAGGGAACTATACTCAATATCCTGAGATAAACCATCATGGAAAAGAATATTTTAAAAAGAGTGTATAGGGCTTCCCTGGTGGCGCTGTGGTTGGGAGTCCGCCTGCCGATGCAGGGGACGCGGGTTCGTGCCCCGGTCCGGGAGGATCCCACGTGCCGCGGAGCGGCTGGGCCCGTGAGCCGTGGCCGCTGAGCCTGCGCGTCTGGAGCCTGTGCTCCGTGGCGGGAGAGGCCGCAGCGGTGAGAGGCCCGCGTACAGCAAAAAAAAAAAAAAAAAGAGTGTATATATATATATATATATATATATATATATATATATATGTAAAGCGAAATCACTTTGCTGTACAGCAGAAAGTACCACAATATTGTAAATCTACTATACTTCAATAAAAAATAAAATAAAATACTATTTAAGGTAACATAAAAATAAAGTAACACATTTTTTAGGAAAAATATAAAAGTACCACTTTTGCACTTTTGCTTGAACACTGCCATTTCAAAACACACTTACGTTGACATAGAATTGTTTGTCAAAAACATCTTTAGTAACACTGAAAAAGCATATGAAATTACCAACATTCAACCAGTTTTGACCTACAAAACAGTAGCTTCACGTGCCACTGATTCCGTAATCGTGAGAGTATTTGTGAGGCAATTCATTTCATACAAACTCTCTTTTGCTCATTTGCTAATGTTAAGTTAAAGTTAAAACAATGTTAAGTTTTTCTAATATGCACCTGGATAAGACTTCACTAAACAATTTCCACAAATTTCAAATACTCCTTATTTAATTTTGGTGTTTATAACTACCAAATACATATTATAATATTCATAAGCCAAAAAGTGGATGCTAAAATAAGTTCGCATACTATACCATACAGGAAAAGTTTTCAATACTAAAAAAGTTGAAAAGTATACCTTATAGGGAAAATGTAACTATTTAAATGAAACACTTGTTATAAAGCTAGACAAGTTCAATGCTTTGTTCTACAGAAAAGTATGCTGTATTGTGTCGGACAAGAAATCTGTGATTCATGCAACTTCCCTGCCCACTAACTCCAATCAATATCCCCAAATAAAAATCAATGTGTGGGGCTTCCCTGGTGGCGCAGTGGTTGAGAGTCCGCCTGCCGATGCAGGGGACACGGGTTCGTGCCCCGGTCCAGGAGGATCCCACATGCCGCGGAGCGGCTGGGCCCGTGAGCCATGGCCGCTGAGCCTGCGCATCCGGAGCCTGTGCTCCGCAACGGGAGAGGCCACAGCAGTGACAGGCCCGCGTACCGCAAAAAAAAAAAAAAAAAAAAAAAAAAAATCAATGTGTGTTTTAATAACAACACAATGAATAATGTTAATGATAATATCATAAGATGAATTCATTCCACATTGTTTCTCCCAAGCAGAATGATTTTCCTTCTATGAGATAGTGCATTACAAACTGCAGGAATCTAAAGGCAATAAATTCTTAGGGTGTAAGAACAACAAGAAGAAGAAAACCTATAATGATAGATCACCTTTTGAGGTGAGCCAACACTGTTTTTAATACCTTCATTTATTGTAAAACACACACACGTACGCAGAGCGTACTCTATTTTAAAAAGGTTGCGTTTCCACATTTATGTCCAGGAAGTCTTCAGGAAGAAGCAGTGTCCTGAAATGCAATGCCATCTATTTGTAACCCTAGTTTTAAGGGGCAAGATTGACACCTATCTTTCCCCACAAAAAAATTAGGCTGCGAAATAGAACCTGGGGTTCTGTCCTTGGTGTGGATCAGAAATGCGACAGTTACACACACTTGAAGAAGTCTGGATTCCCACGGCTTCTCAGCCATGCAAGGGTTACAGACGAGCACAGAAAATTCATGGTTAGTATAGCTTTTGTTATACAGCAAAAAGTAACACACCATTGTAAAGCAATTATACTCTAATAAAGATGTTAAATAATAATAATAATAATAAAAAAGAAAGAAAAAAGAAAATTCATGGTTGGCCACTTACTGGGGACATGGAAGCAGCCTAAATGTCAATCAACAGACGAATGGATAAGGAAAATGTGGCATGCACATACACTAGAATACTTTTCAGCCTTAAAAAAGAAGGACATCCCGACATCTGCAGCAACATGGATGAACCTGGGACATATTTATGTTCAGGGAAACAAGCCAGATGTGGAAGGACAAATACTGTATGATTCTACAGACACGTGGACTCTAAAGTAGTCAAACTCATGGAAGCATGAGTAGCATGGGAGGGGTTGGGAGAGGGGGAAACAGAAGGAGGGGAAAACAGGGAGGTATTAGTCAAAGGTCACAAAGTTTCAGTTGTACGAGATGAACATGCCCTAGAGCTCTCCTGTACAGCAGAGAGCCTACAGGTAATAATACTGTAGGTAAACAATTTGCTAAGAGGGTAGATTTTCTGTTAAGTGTTCTTATCATAAAAATTAAAATAAAATAATAAAAATAAAGAAGGTGGGAGTAAACTTTTCGAGGTGATGGATGTGGTTACAGCATAAATTGTGATGATGGTTTCACAGGTGTACACTGATCTCCAAACTCATCAAGTTGTGTGCGTTGATTACGTACAGCTTTTTGCATGGCAATCATTCCTCAGTAAAGTCGTTAAAAAATTAATAAGTAGTGTTTCCACATTTTAAAAATTCATCACCTGTTTGTTTTTTTTTTTCCCCACAATGATTCAAAAATTTATTAGAGTTGAAAGGATGCTTCAACAGTACTGGTTGGGTTTTCGGTAAGCTCTGAATTCAGGGTGATTCGATGGCAGGTGAGACTGAATCAGCAGCAGCCGGTGGGTGCACGGGGGGCAGAGACCACATCCACCCACGTCAACCCTTCCGTGGAATCACCCCAGAAAGCCCGCCAAGAAGAGTGCTTTGCTTTGCTTTGGGTACGCATGTATATTTCTTCTTTCGATTTCATTAGCTCTTTTTTTCACAATTTTTATATGAACAGAGAGGATTTGTATTTTATTATGATGTTAGTTATTATGACTGTGATTGTTATAAAGAGAAAATGGGGTGGTTCTGTTTCCCCACCAAGCCTCCCAGTTCACTCCAGAATGCTGTACAGATATTATCATTTTCTAAGAATGCCTCGACATGAAGAAGGTTGGGAAGTACAGCTCTGGGTTCTCAGCAGGGGCAATAACTCCCATCCCAGGGGCTAGAAATGTGGGCAGGTGTGTTTAACTGCTGCAGTACCCAGCAGGTGCTGTGGACACGCAGTGTCCAGAGTCTGGGACATGCGGGGCAGCCCCACAATGAATAACTATCCTGCCCAGAATACCCACAGTGACCCTACTGAGAAACCCACTCGCTGGTTGCTCTCACAAATGGTTTATATATAGCCCAGAAACCCATATAGGTTAAGAGCCACGTCAAAGAGATTCCTCTTGACACAACTAGAAACATGAAAATTACCACAGAAAACATCTTGTTAGTGAAGGCAAACATACAGTAAAGGTGGTAAATCAGCCATGTATAAAGCTAGTAGGAAGGTTAAAAGACAAAGAGTAGGAAAATCACCTGTATACCACAATCTACATAGTTAAGGGAGATGCAAAACAAAAAGATGTAAAATAAGTACGACATCAAAACCAGTAAATGCTGGGGGGAGCAGGGTGGGGAAGTAAAAAGGCAGTGTTATTAAAATGTGCTTGAACTCAGAGAACAGCAAGTTAACATAATCACATAGATCGACAGACAGTAAATACAGTACGTAACTATGTAACATCTTTGTATGGTGACAGATGGAAACTAGACTTATCGTGGGGATCATCTTGAAATGTAGACACATATTGAATCACTATGTTGTGTAACAGGAACTAACATAGAGTTGTAGGTCAATCATACTTCAAAACCAACCAGTCAAACAAACAAACTCGGAGAAAAAGAGATCCAATTCGTGGTGACCAGAGGCGGGGAGTGGGGAAGGGGCAATTCGATGCAGGCAACCAAAGGTCCAAACTTCCAGGTGTAAGATAAATAAGTCCTAGGGATGTCACGTACAACGTGATACATATAATTAACGCTGCCGTATGTTATACGTGAAAGTTAAGCAAGTAAATCCTAAGAGTTCTCACCACAAGGAGAAAAGGGTTTTTTTTTCTATTTATTTGAATTTGTATCCATACGAAATGATGAATGTTCAGTAAACTTCCTGTGATAATCGTTTCAAGTACGCAAGTCAAATCACTATGTCGTACAGCTTAAACTTATACAGGGCTGCACGTCAATCGTATCTCAAGGAAACTGGAAAAAATATTCTACTTGGGCAAACCTGATGCAAAGTCAACCCCAATTTGTGTGCTAATAAAGCTTGAGTTTATCCATCTCATCCCTTAGCAAGAATTCTGTTTCTTCCACCACTCAGAACATTCTAAGCACGTTCATCCAATATTAACTGTAGTCAAAGAACTATTCAAGTGCAATAACTTGTTTACAGTGACTACTTGTGGCAAAATAAACAGGCACCAAATGAAAGGAAAGATGAACAAAAAGAAAGAAATTGATTCTACATGGAAAGATGTAAACCTCCCAAACTACTGGTTTCCTCTGTCTTTGTGTGTCAGTGAATTTCAACCAAAAGGGTTAGATGCTTAACTCCTGTGAAATTCTCTTAAGTCTTACCTGGCTTCTTCTAGGACTTTTCCCATCACTTTGTTTTTTTCTCCCTGCTTAACGTCTTCATTTAAATCAGTTCCACCAAAGATGATTCCAAAAGGAATTCCATGACCTGCAAAATAGGATAATTAACAAAGCACAGTTTACCTTCGGAAACACCCCTTGGTAACCAACCCAAAGCGACGATATCAAAAACTGAAGTTCCCACAACGTAGGGGGCATATTTGGTTGTTTGTTGAATTTTACCCACAGCTCTTCTGAATAGAACAGGTGTCACTGTTAAGAACATGACATGGGGTTAATCACGTGAGACAAGACGATTTTAAATCAATTTGCTTTCAATTTTAACACATGAAAAATGTTGTTGGCCTCCATCTATCAAAGCCAAGCGTATCGTTCGGAAATGGGTTAATCTGGAGCTACTGGTGCTCTTATGACAGAAAAAGAGGGCTTCAAATTCAGATCTGCTGTTCATAGTAACCGTCACCGTGCTGGCAAGGAGCCAAGAGGGAGAGGAAAGAGACACAGACTGTATCTTCAGGCACACACAGTACAGCAGCAATGATAGAACGTGGAGGGCACAAATATATGGGAACCAAAAATACTGGAGATGTTGCGTGCGTCAAATGGAAAAGGATTCCCCCCGGGAGCATGTTTATTCTGAATGAAGGGCCCTGGGCTGATGGAAGGCACACTCCCTGGCTGGGTCATTTCACAAGGCACCACGCGTGCACAGATCAAGTTAAACAGTGTGCTCATCACACAGGGCTCCCTGGAAGGACTTCCAAAGGTCAATAAAAATTTCAAAAGAGCAAAGGCAAACCACTAAACAGACCAGATCTAACTTCAGTCCATACTGGGGTTTCTCAAACAAGCCAGCTCTACTGAGATTCAATATGTAAGTGGAGAAGGTACAGATCTTTCCTTGTATTTGCCTTACAAGTGTTTGTCACGCAAATGAGCAGATTCTATCTTTTCTCTTTCTGGTGAAGTGCCTCTCACTTCACTGCGAAGAATTCAGCCTTTAGCTACTAAGCACACCAATAACACGTAAGAGGTACAGAAAGGCTGTGAGTAAAAAACTCAAATGAAAACTTAAAAAAAATTTTTTTAAGTAAAAAAAAAATCAAGTGCATTTTGATTAACACAATATGTGTGTAGGAAAACAATAAACATACATTTCTCTGTACAAAGAACACCTGTGAAAAGATAAACAGAAAAAACCTAGCTGCTGTTGCCTCTATAGAAGGGACCCTGGCAGTCCAGTGGTTAGAGCTCAATGCTTTCACTGAGGGCCCAGGTTCAAGCCCTGGCTGGGGAACTAAGATTCCACAAGCTGCACGGTGTGGCCAAAAGAAAAAAGAAGGAACCCGGAAGGCGACTGATCTGGAACAGGAGAGAAACTTACTTCTTTTCTCTCTATAACACTTTATATTGTTTGCATGTCTTACTATGGACTGGTGTGACCTTTTCCACAAATACTAAACAGTCAGGCAGACATGGAAAGGCGAGTGTGGTAGAGATGATTCCTCTTCTGCCATGGGCTTAGATTTTGGGGGATGCTGAGATGGGGAGAATGATTTTAGCACGTGGGATGGACTTGAATCTTTGGGGACCAGAGAAAGGTCTGTGGTAGGTAGAATAATGGCCTCCAAAGGTGTCCATGTGTAATTCCCAGAATCTATGAATATGTTACACGGTGAAGGGGAATTAAGGTTTTGACTAATCTCTTCCTGTTTCTTGTTGAGAACATGCTTTAGGCTTGAACCTAAAAGAACAGGCAGCATAAAGTGTCTGATTAAGAAGCCAGGTTCAGGAAACCACGAGATTTTCTTCTCAGCCAGCTACTGGGAGTGACCGGTTTTCAGCGTAAGCACTAATGTGGAAAGATCGCTAAGTTATGCACTTAAATATACAAAGTAGGGCTTCCCTGGTGGCGCAGCGGTTGAGAGTCCACCTGCCGATGCAGGGGACATGGGTTCGTGACCCGGTCTGGGAAGATCCCACATGCCGCGGAGCGGCTGGGCCCGTGAGCCATGGCCGCTGAGCCTGTGCGTCCGGAGCCTGTGCTCCGCAACGGGAGAGGTCACAACAGTGAGAGGCCCGCGTACCGCAAAAAAAAAAAAAAAAAAAA